AAACGCGCTAGCTTCGTGAGAAAACAAAGACATTTCTTGAATCCAATGAAAAAGAAATTATTTTCATAAGCAGATATAGAAATATGTATAATGTAATAAATGAGAGGAATTTCAAATTAAAGAGATAGACTAATTTTTACATGGTTTTAAATGTGACTCAAAAGTTATCGCCAACATTGTCAGGGATGTAAGAGTCTAACACTCTTGAGACATAACAAAGTCAGCATTTAGATCTAAAATAATGGATGGTAGCCTTAGGTCCACGTTTAGCTCAAAAGGGATTTAGTCCTCAAGAGTTGAGACACTAGGGTTTTTTAAAGAAAAGCAGAAGCTTTAAATAGGTTACTTGATCCAATAGATTCCCAGGAAATCAATTGAGTCGCTTTATTATTTCGGTGCCTAGTTGAGATGCACAGAGGTATGTCAAGACAGATATTGGGACCGAAGTACAACAAAATTTTCTGCAGGTGGTTCGGTGCATTTATACAAGTTTGACGGGCGATTATACGCTTAAAAGCCCTTTCGACACTCTTTTTGCTAATTTCGTATACTTAAAAGTAAATATGTACAAGTACATGCTATTTCGAAACTTCATTCTTCTATTAAAGTTTATATTATGTTTTATGATTTAGAATGGTCAGAAAATTATTTGAAAAAATCTATATAATTAGATACAAATGCTACAATACTACAATGCATAGATTATATAAGAAGAGTCTTTTATTACACTTTGGTTTTTTTCGCCTCATAAATTTATATGAGTCTTAACTAACATTTTTTATAAATTATATAAATTTAATTGAAAGTAATAAATTATAACATTTTTTATGTTTTTTCTATTATCAATTTTGAAAAGTAATCGTTTTTGTTTTCGTAAAAGTAAATTTTTTCAAATAAAATCGCTAGCTTAACTATGCATGCCATATCATATCAAGATTATTTGTTTTTAATAAATTATTTGTTCAATCTCATTCTATATTCTTATACAAAGTACATTTAATTATTTAATTATGCTAAATGACAGTCAGATTTTTAATTTTCGTATTTTTATTGATATTATAGCTATATCTAATGATAACACAAGCCGTCAAAATTTTTAAATGCAGAAAAACTCTGAAATGCGATAGTATATTTTCGTACGTTTTCGGAGCGCTGAATCCGAATGTGGCTTCCAAATTGATCTATCACCTAAGATTTTCTAGATATCCTAAACTGAAAGTGCGAAAATCACTATATTTTGCTACATTCGAAGTTATGTAACACAGTGAATATATTTTTATTTTTTTAAACAAGTAGATACATGACAATGCAGTACTCTTTTCCATTAAAATGTTTCGGATTAGAATTATCTTTTTTTTTCATCGAGATATCATCGATTAAAGTTAAGTACTTTAGCAGTTTCGCAACAACATTAAAACAGCTTAATCGCCAAATACGTGTGTCTAGTATACTCCAGACCCTTGAACCCCAATTGCCTTAACCCAACCCTCCATCCTTGTAACCTGTGACGATATAACCCTAGACCCTTGAAGCTCAATTGTCTTACCACTCGACTCCTGTAACCTAAGACCAAATAACTTCAGATCCCTGAACCCCTATAACCTGTGATTTTTATGTAATTACAAAACTGCTAAAATACTTAATATTGTTCAATGATATCAAGATAAAAAACTAGTTCTAATTTAAAAAAGTTGGTGTAAAGGGCAAAAGTGCTGGTTTATGATGGTTTTATTGGGTTTTAGAAAAAAAAATTTATTCACAGTGTTACGTAACCTCGATCATAGCAAAAACTCATAATTTTTGCACTTTCAAGTTAGGATATCTCGAGAACCTTCGGTGATGGATCAATTCTGAAGCCAGATTAGGATTAAGCGCATGGAATACCTTCGGAAATATACTATTGCGTTTCTGGATTTTTTGAATGTCGGCCTATGTAATTGTGACAACATTCCCTGTAAATAGAAATTATTTTGATCAACAAAAACATATCACCTTAATCTTTGAATTATTTTAATTCGAAAAAATCATACGTACACGAAATTGCTCAACGCAAGCACTTCAAATATACTATAATCTCTCTATCCGTCTCTTTACCTCTCTGTAACCAACTTTTGGCTTTCTTTCTTCGGGTCTCTCTATTCTCTACTGTCTTCTATTGCATGCCTTCTGCATTCGGTCTTCTTTCCACTCCCTTCTCCCCACGATCCTCTTTCCTCTCTCTCGCCACCCTTCATCACTCTTCGTCATCCCTCTTTCATCTCTCCTCGCTGCTCTTCCCTATTCTTGCCTGTCCCTATTCCCTTAACCCCCTTCTCTCCTTTCCTCGCTCCTCTCTCCACCGCGTGTGATCCTCTAATTGTTGAGATCATTGAACAAAAAAAAAAATAAAATATTTTATTGAGGAAAACTAAATGTGGATATGTTCGCAAGACATTCTAGTTGTCGCAGGATATTTGGCGTTTTTATTAAAAGGCTCGTTCGGTGCATGACGTCCGGAGATCTCCGGAAGTTTATCCACGAACGATGTACGTTCATATCAACCTCAATGCATGATCCATCAACGCGCGCGTAACTGAATTAATTTGCAAAAGTATAGTCGAGGGCGCGCGCTTAATTAACAGTTATATTGTGTGCGCGTAAGTACACGCTGGAGAGACGCGACGCGTCTAATGCGCGCATGTGTGAGATGTACATTTCCAACGAAGCGCATGAAATTGTCATGCTAATGTTATAACGAGCTGCGTATTATGTGCTGCTACGACGTCGAGGTAAGTGGCGTGGCTAAACTCCGCTCGCAGGCTTAATTACGTACGCCTCTTCTCCGGATGCTTGACAATTTTTTTTTTGCTTTGCGAACGAAGAAGAAGCCATTAGCCGTCGAGGACGAGGACATTCGCGTTTGATCAATCCGTCTCTTGACATTATCTACTGTCAAGACAGTTGTAATATTAGCGAGGTGTATGACAAAGACCCGAGGACTCTTCTTTTCACTGTCAGGCGGCGGAAATAATAAGAGTTCCCGTGCTACTAGTGCTCGTATTAAAGATTGGCTCGATCCTTTGTGTGCTATTGAGCGATAAATCGTGTGGAATGATAAATCGGGCTTAAAGGCAGGCATCTATTCTTGAATAATCAAGTATTCGGATAGCGAGCTCGCCTCTCTCACCGCCGGCACTCGTGCTAGAGGTCCGGCGGCGTGAAGCGTGCATCCTTTCGAAAGTAATACACTGAGTGGTGCGCGGCTGAGGCTCAGGGTAATACCAGAGGTCGGATACTAAATTTTCAATTTCAGAAAACTTTATGCTACGGTCGAGCAGCGAATTAGTTAGGAGAGAGGCACCGCGGGCTAGCGGCTGAAAAAAGGCTCGAGATCGTAGAAATTTCGCCGGGGCGATACGCGATTCTACACAGGGAATTATGTCGTTGACTGCTTTCGTTATTGCGCGCGTTAACGGGGAATCATTTTGCAATGAGAGGTGAAATTACATCGAGCTTTCAATCAGCGAGTATTGATTTACAAAATTGACGGTTACGGCGGGGATACGACTGGTCGTGTATTTCAACTGCAAATTACCGTTTCTTTTGTTGCTGCACCCATCGCTTGTACTGGTGATTCACACCGCACTGAAAAGAAAATCGTCATTCGTTAGATTGTTTTTCAATGTTTCTTTGGTTGTACGTTGCTGACGACGTTGAACAGTTGATGCTTGCCGATGATAAATACTCGCAAAGCTCTTTGCAAAATTTAATTGCTCATTCGAATGTAGCAACCAATCAATTCACACAAAAATCTCGCTCGCCCGACAAAGATTTCATTGGGATTCAGCACTCGTTTTGCCAAAAAACAAAAAAAAAGAAGCAGGCAGTCCGAAACCTTGTCCTTTGCACGATGAAAAACCAAAAAGGCACCGAAAGAGAGAGAGAGAGAGGGAGAGAGAAAAAAGGGGGAGAAAGAAATTCAACCGTCCACCGTTGGTCCAAGCTATTCCGCTCGGGTTGCGGCCAAAACGAACGCCAACAAAAACATCCCTTTTCAGCCGTCGCTTTTTTTCCTTTCGCCCGCACATTCGAAATAACGTCGTTGCCCATCCACTCTCTCCCTCTCTCTCCCTCCCTCGCACGCTATTATCGCTTCGATGTGCTTATTACGCGCCTTCTTATATTCGCACTTCAGCCAAGCACGTTTCCTACCCTCCGCGCGCGTGTTTTTACTTTTAGATTTTTATGCTTGGCTTCTCCCTGCTGCCAACTTTGCCCTCTCTCTCTTCTATTTGTGCCTGTTCTCTTGCAGGATGCTTTTTTCCCACGCCCCTCGTATTATGCTTTCATCAGTACATTTCATTTCCGCGCGGGATTTATGTTAATATTTAATTAGCGATCTATTATTCAGATAGAAAAATACAGTCAAATAGCAGGCAATCCGTTTATTTATATGCGATGCCTCGCCAGAAATTAAAATTATATTTTCTCTCTCAGCCTGACACTTCGTTTTAGTCTGACAGCCCATCCGTAACTTAATTAATCATGAGAAAAATATTCCAATATATCACGCTACCAAGACAGATCAAAAATAAATAAATAAATAGACAAAATACTTGAAAAATGATAACCATACCTCAAGCGTGCGAAACAAATTAATGATCGAAGAAAGCATTACTTTAACACCATACGCATGTAAATAAAAATGAATCGAGTAATATAAAGCAAAATCCCTTCTTATTGCGAAAGTCTGCTTACTCTGAATTTTGCTTATTCTCATAGAAATAATTACGGGTAAACGAGGAGCTCCCCTCCCCCACGGAAAAAAGCTTTAGCTTCCCCGTAAAACAGTGATCCCAACAAAACCATAAACAGCCCCACTCGTCGCTCTCTTTTCTCGGAGTGGCTGTTGTCGCGCAGGACACTCCACTTATGTTTCCTCACGCGGCGCGCAGGCGCCTCCTCGCTCTCTTTAGTCTCAGTTGGTGTACGCTCGGATCGTCAGTCAGTCACGGAACGAAGTCGCGCGCGGCACGCTATCTTTCGTTCGCGCGCGTGTGCATGGGAGGGAAACGACGAGTAGAGGATTCAGCTGGTAGATTCGTCAAGAAAATCTGATGGAAATGTGCATCACGTGACGTGCATGGATTTTCTTTTTTTTTTTGTTTTCTAATAGAATAATGTTAGAACTCTACGGGGTGACCGGCGATGGTATGGGTTACCGGCTTCAACCGCCACCGCCACCCCGACGTGTCAGTACGCTACAAGCTGAACAACTTGTCGCACTAGAGGTACGATTTGTTTACATAGCTTGGTCACAATTGAATACCTAACGATCGTTGTGGGTGGAGACGGTTTTTTCGGCATGAAGGGAATAAAGCTTTTACGAACAAAGTTTATTGCCATCGCTTAATATATAGCTTTTAATCACGGTTCGCACAATAAGGAAAAAGTGCTATTCATTTTGTGAGACAAACTTTGTTAAGTGTGCCATAGTTCATTGTGCTTCAAAGTTACGATTGTGAAACAGCGAACGATTGTTTTGATCGTTGGATATAAGTTCAAGAACTATGCGGCTCACACGAAAACAATATCTGAACGCTGACCTGTAAAAATACATCATAATCACCACTTTGTACATAAACGTTGATTCCGTATCGTAAACTTTTCTTCCCCAAGATATTTATTAAAAAAGTTAGCTAAAAGACTGGATGAAAGAAAAGAATGAAAAAAGAAACATTGTTTTGGAAAGTTATGATTACTTGTTAACTGAATCAAGGTTTTACGGGAAGAACAAGAGTGAGGCCTGACCGAAAGTCGAGTCGGACTACTCGCACCAACGCTCGAGCAAACGATAAGTTCAAACAGCTCGCCTGCGCCTGACGTAAAGTTCGTAGTAGTTGTTAATTATCAGTCGAATCGTCTATAGCTATTTTCTAATGTATTTTACTCGATAGCCGTTAAAAGAGAAACTCGCACTTGCAGCAAAGGAGTCATCTTCTATGACTTCGATATTCAGAATGTCACTCCCGAGAAAGTGCATCAATTTGTCTAATCTTTCGACGTAAAGAACAGGTAATTAGCGGAAAGGATGTGTGCAGGCGTCCAATTAGAAAGTAATGGGGTATTAAGATTACAGTATTGATTAAGGGGGTTTGAACAAGTGACAAGTTTCGGCTTAATCATTATGTAACCGCACACTTGATCGCTCTGTAATCGACGCGAGTCAACGGTTTTCGCTGGTCTAACGTATTTGACATCTACTCTCTCTCACTCTCTCTCTCTCTCTCTCTCTTCCTCTCTCTGATGTACTCAACCGCAGGTTCCGAGATGGAGATAAATTAACGTGCTAATGGCTGGGTATTTGCGTTTGAAACAACACACATCACGTTACTTACATTGATTGATTTGAGTTTTGATCTCGAATTTTCATTATTTCTGCGAGACTCGTGTACTCGTGTAAAAAATTGTTTTCATTCGCTTTTCACGTTACAAAGCGCTCAGTATATTTATTTCAACGTCAGTGCAATTATAATTTGTTCTTATCCCCTAATCTTGAATAATCAGCGTCAGTTACGCAGTGTTAATTTGTGCTTAATCGAACCACAAAATCAAACGTAACGAATCAGGCGATTCAAATTTTTAAATTAGTCTGGGCCTGGCTTCAATTAGCCGCCAAGCATTTCGCGAGATATAAAAATAATCATCGGTAGGCTTTAAGCACAGCGACGGAATCGACGTATCGCATTTCCGCTGTACTGGTCGCAGCAACCAGTGCCGTTCGCGCAACGTACTGAATATTCGCCTTTGACGCTGGCTGCTTTATGGAATTTATGTACGTTTCGCGGCGACGACGAAGCTTTTGAGGAAACGCGCCATACCCGTGATAATTTGGATGAGTCGGTCTTGGGAATGAACGTTGATACACGAAGCTTTTGACTTTGACGAAGAGTAATTTGACGTTACAACGTTGGCTTTTGGTAACTCAGACGTTTTGTTCAGGTGAATATTGCGAATGATGTAAAATGGGGTTTTAATGTATTTTGAATGTTGTTTGTATCGTTTGCATTTTATCAGATAATATGATTGTTGTCCGGTTATTCATTTTGATTTTTTTATCGTTTTGTAGGCTTTTTTGTAACAAAAATTTAATCAAAATACCGGTGTACGTAGTTACTGATACGCGTATCAAGGCTATTTGTAACATTGAATTTCAACGATAAATATAGTATTTCGAACGTTTGTTATGCACAACAGATTGATCCATACGTTTCGAAAATTAACGTTTGGTACACATTAATCTTTTCTCATGAAAAATAATTTCTCCATTGTACTTCCTTCAACTAATTAATAGTCCAAATCTATAGCATGAAAGAAATTTATGATTTATATCACTTTGAGCTTTGTAATTTGCGTATGAATTTAAAAGTACAGAGAAATGGAATTTGAAAATGATAAATATCCGTACAACTGGGTTTCAGCGTTATTCGAAATGGGAAAGCTCACAGTATATATAAATGCCCGCATTCTTTACTAAATTTAACGATCAACGTTCAATAACACACGATCGCAGTGATTCCTTTAACAAATAAATGCATTCAAGGAAGGTTGATGCGGACTCGCGTCCATCATTTCGACGAAAAAGAATGCATTTTTCAGAAACCATAAGAAGCTAAGGGCGACGACAATATACAATAATTCATGTGCATTGTGCGCTTAATTGAGTTACATGACCATGCGCGAGGTCTCATTTTTCTTTATTTTCTCAGGCGACGCGAAAGTATTGCGCGTCGCGCTACCCCCCAAAAATTCGCGACCAATACTCAGACAAGATGTTTACAAGTTTAGCAAACTTTGCGAGTCGAAATACGTTTTTGGAAGAGCCAGTTGAGCACTGTTGTGCACGAGTAAAAGTTTTGGCTAACTGTGTTGAGTACTTCTATCACGATGTAAGCGGTTTACATTCCATTTAAGTAAATATATCTTTTGACGGGATCGTGAGTATTATTACTTATTTGATTGAACTAATTTTTAAAGATGAATCACGAATAAATGAAAAGAAACAGTTGTACTAAGATCGTATGGTTGATTGTTACATTTGTCTTTGATGAGCTTGCGTTGATTTATATCGTGAATGAAAAGAAACTGACGTGACACTGCAAGTCAGAAATAAGTTCCTAGGCAATCAACAAAAACTAACAACTGTTTGTCCAATAACCCTCGACTCTCTAAATCCCGCTCATCGCCGTTCGAAATTTGTAATTCCAACTTATGTTAATCCGACTGGAATTAACATTCTAATCGGAGAACTCGCGCTCGCGCGAGTTCAGCGTCAGCCGTCGTTTCAATTACATTAATTATTCAGCCGTGCAAACGCGAGTCGTACGTAGCAAATACTCGGCGCGGCGCGCGTCCCCCGTCGTTGTTTTTTCCTTTATAGATATTTATTTGGCGAGCTCTTGTCTTGCCTCGACCTGCGCGAGACTTTAATAATTGTCGCTTCGCGTGTACGCGCGCCAGAGGACAAAGACGGTAATTTACGCTCTCCTCGGCAACAATGTCACGGACGCGCCGCCAACGCGTGTGTACATACGCAGCCGATTGTTGGCTGTGTATACATACGCCGCGACTGCATCGAGCGAGCGCCGCTTGGAATTTCGAATGCTCCCCGCGATTTATCTTCCGCGCCGAAATTGTGGAAAATTCTTTCGAATGGACGCTGATACTAATGCGAGTTGTTGAATATAATATCGTGCGCAAGTGCGAGTTCGGCAAAGTTTTGCGTTTGCAGGTTGTAATGCTTCGGTATGTGTGTTTCAATTAGCTTTGAAACCCATTGGGAGGATATTAATTATAGCTGCAAGCTTTCACTTGATATCGCACATAACTGATAATGCATTATTACAACTCTATGAGAGAGAAACGCGTTCAGCGCTCTTCAAGAATTCCTAGTCAATTTCCGATTCGAAATACACTGATCAACACGCGATATTGCATTTACTTTCGATTCTCAAGTAATGACTTGATGACAATTCCGGCAAATATTTTTTTACTAGAGCGAACTCGAAACTGAAAGCCAGCGCGCGCCAGATTTTCGTTGTTTCCAGAGCCGTGAAAAATCGTCTTGTCAATTTCACCTCGGGGCGCTTCTCCTCTTTCTATCGAATTTCAGCGGAGCCGCTCGACGCGTTGATTCCCTGTGCCGCGCGTCGCTCGTTTTATGGCATCGGACAAGTTGTCGTCACACTCGCAACCCAAGAGTGCACACGCCTGAAAATTTTATGTGGGTCAACTTTTGCCAAAGCTTGCCTTTTCTTCGGGAATTCCCCTTTTTTCGCCGCAGCCCCCGACGCGACGCCCCATTTCTTTCTCAGATTTTTTTCCTCTCGCTCGCCGATACAAACTTATTCAGCAGCTCGGATAAAAAAGTTTGGAGGTTCCTGTTGAGAAGCCGGAGAGAAATAAACCAAACGAACGTACTGAAGTGTTGCTGATTTTTTGAATGGTTGCTTTTCGCGGAAAAATCGCTTCCAACTTTTATCAGAATTTCGAGTGTTTTCTCTAGACAATTATCAAAAGTTAACAGTTGGAGTTAACCGAAAAGTTGGTACAGATTTTTCATTTCCTTTTTTTCTTTGTTCATAAAAATTTGCTCTATCTTGTTCGAGAAACTGCTACGAATAGACTATCTTCAATAAATCTTGAATGTTAAAAATAAGCAAAATCCTACCATTATTTACATTTATCAAACAACGACTTAACATACTCTAAGAGAAGAAAAATATCTTAGAGCTGATACTCGGCTAGCAATGGATAGTTCATCGTTTGAAAATTAAAAATGTATAATACAAAGTAAATGCAGTATTCATAACTCGCGGCTGATCAAATAATCCCGAAAAAGAAGAAAAATGTTCTCCTGACTCATCAAACTCTTCGAAATTTTGGTGCACTCAGCCACTGAAATAACCTCCATCATGCGTGAAAAATAGAATCGCACCAAGCGGAAAAAGCGGCGTTTCATCAGAATTCGCATTAGACTCACCATACACTCCACCACGTGCAAGATCCATTATGACGAGAACAAAAAAAAAATAAAAAGAGAGAGAGAGAGAGAGAGAGAGAGAAGAGGCAAGAGCGTCAACAGGGAAAATCAGTGCGTTTTTAACACGCTTCGCGAGACTTAGCGAGCACTTTTTAACGCGCGCTTCGTTCTTTGTTTTAGCTCACAGCCGTGTACGTGGAAATTTCGCTGATATCGAAAAAATGTGTTAATATTTGCTATGACTGTGTGGCCAGCTATTTTTCTTTCTTTCCCTTTTATTATTGGTCTATGGTGTGGGAATATTAACGATCAATATTGCAACTCGACTTGGTGATTAATAAGGCTATTAAAACATTTTTACGACTTTTTATCAAAACATTTTTGGTCTTACTTCATTAAATATCAATATTTCAATAATCATACATATAAAAATGCCAAGAATGCATCTTTTGTTAATAAAAAACTTTATTAACTTCCGAATTGACATTTGAATTCAGTTCTTAAGAAAAATCCGCGAATTTTATGTGAAATTTTGCCACGTTACATTTTTGAAATTCCGTTCTCCTCGTCTTAGTGGAGCCTCGAGGGGTGAATGTGCTTAACGGACCGTGGAGCAAATTTATTCTCTGAGGCCGTTACTTCGTTACGACGGAACTGACTTTTTACTGGCAAAAATCGATTTTAGGCTAATCGTAATTTTTTTTTATCTGGCAGACATGTAGATGATTCGTAAGCCATTTCTAGAATTTGTCAATGCTCGTGTATACGGTAGAATGATACGGTTATTTGATATCCGATGGAATCATACCATAACATACATTATACACATTAAATGCATATCCTGCGTAGTAATAAAAGTGATTGAACATTATTAATGAACATATCATTTTACTTCGATGCATCGCGTAACTGATATTATCTCATTAGATTCTCTTCTACTCTCGTAATAAATACATTGAAATTAAAAGTTTCTAATAAAACTGATACTTCAACAAACATTATTATCATTGAATATGAATTTATTCGAAAGCTATATTGAATGATATTGAAATGTCTTTACTACTGCAATGAAAATTGTGCCTACACACACCCAGCAGACAATAAACCGATTTTTGTTGATTTGCAGACGTGCCTGCAGCTGTCGTCGCCGGAGCTGATGAGAAAAGTGCCGGTAGCATCAGTAACACCCCAACAACTGCTTCGAGGTCGACCGCGAGAGCCGACAGAGTTACAGCGTGTGGTTTCAAGCTGCGAGCCTACCATCATTGAACCCGAGACTAAGATTCAGCAACAAGACGATATCGACGAGGTCGAATCGGCCGCCTCGACGAGAGATAACTGTGAGTTGGTGTGGTTTTTTGCACCCACTCGCTAAAGATCCTCGAGTTTCTTCGTAATTCGAGAGCTCTCGTTGGAAGTTACTCGAGTTACGCGAACGCCAAGTCTGCAAAGATGAATATTTATATAAGCGGGTATTGTATCTCGAAAACTTGATGAACTTTCAATGAAGTTCAATAGCGAAATTGCCGGAAGGATGCTAAGTAATCGTAGTACTATCTGGAAAATACGCCGTTTGCCCAACGTCCCTTCGTTTTCTCTTCTATCCATCAACAGACACAGTCCGGTCGATTTTTAATAAAAGCGGATCGGCAAGTGATATTGCTAGCTCCGGAAAAACATCTATCGCTGGCAAAGTGTTTGCGTTGGATATGTATCCCCAGCGTGAGAATTCCGGATGCAAAGCTTTTGCCTGTTATCTTGTTGCCTATCTTTCTCCCACTTGAGTGTCTATCAAACATCCATTCACATTTATCGTCCGAACAAACGAATGTCATCTCGCAAGTTATTCGAACGCACCACGAGTTGCATTTAAACAGCCATTAGCGTTGATGAACTACGTGGCACATGGGCAAAAAGTCGCGCAATCAGTCCGCAGCAAGCGAAAGCCAATCGAACGCGCATCAATGGAAAGCAAAGAACGAAAAAAAAAAAAAAAAAAGAAACAAGAATTTCGTTGGAAATGCGCGCCGGGATTTTCAAATTGGCCGAGATAAAGTCGGCAAGGTTGGCTCTCCTGCCGGCGGGGGATTAATTATGCAGCTCCCGTAACTGTCTTCCGCACGTAAAGGGTGCCTTAGTCGTAATGGCTCCGCGAGGAGAGGAGATGCCACTACTTTCTACCACCACCGCTTGTTTCTTGCTTTGTTCGCTGACCCCATCCCCTCTTTCGAACCCCTCGACGCTGTCGTTCGGTTAGTGAGTGAATGAAACAAAGTTCAATATTTCCGTGAACTGAGTCATAATGAATTTTCGTAATTTTGGTGGACATAAAAGTATAAAACAAAGTTTACATTGCGTTATCGTTCCGATTGCTTTTGCAGTACATTCACTTTGAGCTGTATATAAATAACGAAGTTTGTGCAATGTCAATATCGAGCTTGACAATACTACAGAAACTAATTTAGCCGCGAAGTAAGTTCGCTCATCCCAGCAATAATAAATGACGAGGAAAGTTAAAACCAGCGCGCAACAACAAATTAGCGCGCGACGAGAATAACGGAAGCGCTCAGTTCATATGCCAAGTTAAGCTGCGACCGAAAGATTTTCGTTGCCACGCGAAGTTTTAGTAGTTATTTTTTTATCCCCGGTCTCTCGAACAACATCCCCAGCGTTGCGAAACTTTACGGGTAGGGTTGGGTATGCGTGCCAAGCCAGGTGAATGCATTCGGCACACATATGCTACTCTTGAAGTATGGATGTTCGGTTAAATCCGACTATTTCCAAGTAGAGTGTGCGCGCCAAAAATCGTAGACAAATTTTCCCGCGCGAAAAAACGCGATTTATAATGGCTTCCAGACGTAAAAGAGACTCGAAGCAAGCGTCGAAAATAGTTTCCTTGAGCAAAACTTTTGCAAGTTTCCTCTCGACTTGTACCTTTAAAACACTTACTCGATCTCAATCTCGTTGGCCTGTCCGCTCTTTTGATTGACTTTGAGAGACTTGCGTGCGTTATTGCGTTTCGCGAGGAGTTCCAAGTCGACAGTGATAATAGCGATGCACGAGGATGAAGTGGCAAGAAAGAGAACGAGGCCACCTGCAAAAGTTGTTTTATTAGTTCGCCGAGTAGTAGCTGAATTAAGCTTAATTTGTTGGAACTAATAGAACTTTATTAAATTTCAAATGGTTCGTACGTAGATTTTTCGTAAGTTCCATTTTAATTTATTTAAGAAATTCTCAGGAATTTTCTTGTGACTCATAACCAAATTACTCAAATTCTAAAACTAAAATATAAACTCTTCGTCGATTTTCTCTAACCTCTGTATCCGTGATACATACGACTCGAAATGCAACCAATCATTTAGTTTCATATAGCTGATACTCTATCTTTAATTTTTTTTTTTTATTTTCGTCATTTCATACTTCGTTTACAAAAAATTCTTTCTACTCCAGAGAGTGAAATCCCGTCAGAATTGCAATAGTCTTTCCGACATCACGCGACGTATATTCTATACGAGCAACGAATTGATTAACAATATCATCACGCAACAAGCGAAATAAAGGTATCCTCGACAAAACAAACATCTCATTTCCGACGATTGGTTCGAGCTTGATTTCTTTTTTCCCCTCCCTTCTTGTCTCTTTCGATGTTGGCTATCAACTAGCTCTAATTTTCCTGTCGTGTATTTTTTTTATTTTTTTTACGCACGTGGAAGGGAGAGAAAGAGAGGGGAAGGGGAGAACGCGCCGCTGCTATAATCAAAAGATCTCATCGACGGTTCGCGATACCGCTAGGCTTGTAATTAATTTACATTGGATCATATATAGAAAGATATACAGCGAGGCTGATCTCCGCGCTGACGTATGCTGTTAATTATCACTATTGATGCGGCATCAAAACTTGACAATAGCTCGAATGCAAATTAGATTCGAAACTGAATATTCAAGAGCGAAACCGCGTAACAATAGTAGTCACGCTATGAAAAAAAAAACTCAACGACGAAATATAAACATTCCTTTTTAAGACTCGCCCGTATTTTTCATTGAACTATACTGCGAAAATGCGCGAGAAGAGGCTTCGCAAAGAGTGGCCATATATCAGTTTTACGAGCGACAACAAATCACTTGTTCGCACTTCAAAAATTCAAAAGTTACGCGCCGCGGTCGCTCTTAAGAAAATCACCTTCCTAGACGCGCTACACCTACCTCCTGCCCTCTCGCGCAAATAAACGCCGACGGATTTTTGTTTTTTTCGTTCGCGGCTGTAAATCTCACTCGATAAATAGAGCTTCATCGAGAGATATTTCTCTTGTTTTACGGATCGATTGTGTCAGTGTTGCGATTTGTGCGTCGACGAGGAAGGATGAAGTTTGTCCACCGAATGTTACCTTTGAGCGTTAACGCACAATGATTTATCTGCGTTGCGAGAAGTCGAAAGTTTCCCTCCCGTGGCTTGGTCCAGGAGGCTGCCCGAAGAATAAAATTCTTTCTAATTAGAGTTGAATGATTCTTAAGAAAGTTTAACAGGTGATAAAAGTCATGTTTTATTAATAGATAAAGTTTTCGCGGAACGCAATTACCGCCAGCCCGTGCGCGAGCGAGCGAAGGCTAAACTTTGTGTTCTGCTCATAATGATTAAAAGATTCACTTTGACAAGTTCCCTCAAAAATACTTCAACGTCCGCGAAGAGAGGGGAAGGGAGACTTCACAAAACTAGCACCGCTTAATTTATTCCTTCGAAGTTTGCTGACTCAAAGTAAAAAAGAAACGATTGTCAAGCTTCGAGGATACAATTGCGTATGCGAGTGTTTGGGGCGTGCGAAGATTTTAGTTGCGCGTACAGGAAAAAAAGTTTCGCAAGAGAGAGAGCGAGAGAGGTAAATATTTTCTTCTTCCTAGGTAGATTTAACTTTTTCATCTCGCAGATTAGCCGAGCAGCGAAGTCTTGATTTCCTCCTTCCACGTGACAGCCAAAACTGGCTCTTGCACTGTGTGTTTGCGTGAGAAGTGTAGTTTGCTTGGGCAGCTGTTGTCTGCTAATTCCTTTTTCTTGCTGAAAAGTTTTTATCGAGCTGCAAAGCGAGGAAGGCTTTTTACGTGAAACTTATTTGCGAAACTGCAAATCTTATGAAGAACAGCACTATTTGGTCGTTATATTAACGAAGGCAAAGGTAAATTAAGAATTTCACGCGTTTGTTGTTTTCAAAGTTCCGCCTTCAAAGCTACACAATTTAAAAATTTTCAGCCATGTCACGGACCATAACGTATTTGCAGAGTATAAACTCGTCACTCCTTTTCAGCGCGCTTGTCAATTACCTTGTAACGCGAAAAAACGCTGATGATAACGCGGATACGAGATAACATTCCCAAATTACATTAGCATATTTTTAAGCTTCTGAAATATTCCGTACAATCATCTTTTTTTCTCGTGAAAATCACCGAAAAAACTTGAAGCAGAAAACATTCATTTCCATGGTAAAATATTTTAATCTCGCGACACACACAAAACGCGTCACACATTGCTGAGAATTTTGACACGCTTCATTATCCGCCACGGTACTCAGCGCTGCAGCGTTGGTAATCACTGCGGGCACAAACGAAACGCGAGCGCGTCACGAAGTTAATTACGGCATTCGCATGCGCGAGAACGCGCGAGAAAAAAAAGGAATTTTTTTTCATCTCTTACACAGCTCGTGAACAAATTGAAGTGTCAAACTTCGATGGGTGGAACGTGGGGCGTGACGTGTCCAAACTGAAAAGGATTGGCCGATAATTGGTCAATTCATCTCTTTTCTTTTTAATGAGTATTCTTTGTGAATGTAAATCAGATGTATACGCTGCGTAAATACGAAATACGGAGAGTTCAACACGATCATAAATGCAAGCTTACGTAGGCGTGCGTTATGCGTACGTCTGACCGTATCCGATCACGTTCTACTCGCATGCGCTTTACAAGCGAGTGCAAATCTTTTTCCGCTCTACTCGTTACTTCTACCGCAGAGAAGCGCAATGATTCCGCGTGCACAAAGGACAAAACTCAAAATCCGAAATTGTTTACGACTCGCGCGAACAGCAAAAAGCTTTTCTCATCAATTATCACGTACGCATAACCCCCGTCCTTTCGACGTGCAAACTAGTTTTCTGCGTACGAGAGAGAGAGAGAGACATATAAAAATTTTACTGTCGGACGGGATTCCGCGAAAAGAATAGTTCGCTGATGATTTCGCGTATTCGCGATGAAAGAGAAAGCGAGTGGGAGAGAGAAAGAGAGACTAGACAATTCAACGTTGCGCGAGGGAGACAAAAAAAATAATTGGTTTGTCGATGAAAACTCGCGAGAATA